ACCATCGGTAGGCAAGGTGGGTGAAGTGTGTTGCCCAAGGACACAACGACTGAGACGGCTGGACGGGGGATCGATCTCGCGACCTTCGGGTTCCAGGACGACTCCCCTAACCACTATTATTATTATTATTATTATCATCATCATCATCATCATCATCATCATCATCATCATCATCATCATCATCATCATCATATTCATGAGACAGTTTTATAGAGCTGATGCCACCTGAGTCTGGTTTTGTGAAATTGAAGTTGTTTTCACTTTTAGGCCTGCTGGGGTTCTTCCTCAACATCATCAGCATCCTGTCCTTCCTCACTGTGAGGGAGATGAGAACCCCCAGTAACTTCTTCGTGTTCAACCTCGCTGTGGCCGACATTTGTTTAAACATAAATGGACTCACAGCTGCTTATGCCAGCTATCTCAGGTGACAATCAAAAGAAAGCATGATTATCTTACTTACACTACAGGTATTATTTTCCTAAAATGATACAGATTTATACTGAGCACAAACGGTAAGGAAATTAGTGTTTAGCAGATYATTTCTGTGTTGTAGCAAAGCTTCTTGGCAAAAGAGCTTAGAGCGGGCACCTGATTGGCAGCACCAGTGGGAAACAGAAGCTCAAAACAAGAGTCAATATCAGCAAAATAAGCTGTTTGGCAGAGTAGATTTGGCAAATTTTTCATTTGCGCAACCCACATACTCTGCTCTACTGCTCATCCCACAAAWGCATGTTCCTTACAAATTTGGCATCATTTAAAAGGGAAATCAACAGGCTTTCCAACAATGTAAGTTTTTTTGGCAAGACACATTGTTACAACAAAGAAATAATCTACTAAACACAATGTTGTTATTTTTTTCTGCTTCTTTTAKGGTGTATTCACACCTGACACATTTGGTCCACTTTAAACAGACCACAGTACGTTTCCCCTGTTGGTCCGGACCTTTTATGCAGGTGTGAATACACTCATGCGAACCCTGATACGAATCAACAACCAGAGCAAGTTGCTAACGCTAACACTGAACAGGACTTTCCTGGTGTRAATACACCCTTAGCTTTAGGGTAGCGTTATAATACTTTTAGATAGCTTTTTGCACTTTTAGTTTTTTTCTTTTTTTTTAAGTAAAGTATAAAATGGACTATAACAAAAGCTTCTTTGTCTCACAGGTATTGGCCATTTGGTCAAGATGGTTGCAGTTTTCACGCTTTCCAGGGAATGATTTCAGTGTTGGCCTCCCTCAGTTTCATGGCTGTAATCGCCTGGGACAGATATCACCAGTACTGCACTAGTAAGTTCAAAAAGAAATGACCACTACAGCGCATAAAATCTACACGAAGGTTGGGTTTGCTAGCTTCGTGCAAAAATCACAAAAAGATTACAAGAAAAAAAATTGTTTTTTGATCCTTCACAAGTCATTCTGTGCTTTTTCAAAGTTTTACAACCACATAAAGTTCAACAATAATCTCTCTGTTTAAGATGTTTTTTTAAATTAATTTATCAGAAAGTTTAATTCTCTAAATACGTGTTCCATCTTTTCCAAATGGGCTTATTGTGCACATTTAATTTTTAGTATTCTTAGTACCAATTACAGCCTTTTAAGAATGTAGTTATGAAACTGAATGAGCATTTGTAATTAAATATAATTTGGTGAGGATTATATACCAAATCTTTTAATTCAGCTATTTTAAATACACAATGAAAGCACTTCAGTGTGTCCTGTCCAATAAAGAGGATAATGCAAAGACAGGAAGTTTTAGGCAACATAATTCAAAACACTATTTATTTCAGTAGAACAAAATAATTTTATGTCAACCTGTATTATTTAAAAAAAATCCCTCTTCYCCGAACAAGGAATAAATTCTAGTGCACGTCCTCTGCAGTCATACGACAAGTTAATCCATTTACTTTAATGCTCGCAAAGAGGCCTGTTCTCTTTAAGTGAACACTCCAGTTCTTGCATAATCACAATAGATGAATTCATCCATTTCTGCGGTGCATTAGGCTCAACAGGATTACAGGTTTTCCCTGATAGATTTGCTAAAGAGTGCATAAAAATAGCTCCTTTTTAATTAAATCCCATTCCTTGGGAGGAAAAATAACTGTAATTAGGTTTGAGTTGTGTGTGATTACTTTGTAAGGTCCTCAAGACGATTTGTTTTGTGAATTGGTTCTTTATAAATATACAGTAATCAAATAAATTGAATTGAAAATTGGGACAGAACTCTGCAAATGCACTTGCTTCCATTTGTGTGTGAAAACTAGAAATTCTGACATTTGTCAGAAGTTAGGTTTGTATTTGTTATTCTCACCCATGTACAACGAATGGCCTGCCTGAGCATCACAGGTTCCATCAGAACAACACCCACGGCAGCTATGGAAGTCCTACTGGACCTGACTTTAATAGATTTATATATCTTAGAGGAGGCTGCACCAGTCTGGTARGTGGAAAAGCCTATCTGACTCACAGCCCACTAGACTGGGCCTGGGCAGTCGCTGCTGTTCCAGTAACTGCAGGACCTGGAGACCAAATGGTCAAAAACAACAATTTTGAGCCAAGTTTYAAGACAGAGATAGAAGACAGGTCTGCCTGGATTAACCTCTCTACGATGGACATGTCTCCCAATCATTTCTACTGTTTTACAGATGGATTCCTTCTGAAGGGGTCAGTAGGTGCAGGGGTGCTGATTTTGCACAACCATAGTAAGAAAGAGCATAAATACACACTAGGTTGTTTTGCAGCTGTATCCCAAGCTGAGATATATGCAATCCACCAGTGTGTGGCATCTCTCAAAGACCTTCTGTACACAGAAGGAAATATTCATCCTAACAGATAGCCAGTCATTACTGGCTTAGGAATGTGCCAAAGCAGTCAACCGAAATAGTGTTACAAGTGTTATAAGTGTTACTGTACCAGGTCATACCCGCTTTAATGGTAACAAAAGAGCTGACTATCTTGCAAAAGCTGGCAGTCGGGCCCGTTTCAAAGGACCAGAGCCTGTTGCAGGTATCTCAACAACAGTCTGTAGGACTGCCCTACAGACCTGGATTAGACGTCAACACTCACTCCGCTGGAGGGAGCTGACGGACTGTAGACAGGCAYGGTTTGGGAAAGCTCTCATTGCCCTGACAAGGAAAACTTTAGGCACAATGGTTGGAGTCCTAACTGGGCACAACCTGCTCAACTGCCACAAAATGCTAATAGGACTCCATGACGGTGGTCTGTGTGATGCCTGTGGCATTGGATTAGAGACCTCTTTGCACTACTCAGGCCACTGCCTGACTCTGAGCAGTCAAGGGAAAAGAATTCTTGGGGACCCCTTTAAGGATCCCGAGAAGCTCAGAACACTGAGCGTTTCTAACCTTGTGTCCTTCATCCGAGGGACGAGAAGGTTTGAATAAAGACCACTGTCTTTTTGGGGAGAGCAATGGRCCCACTTACGAAGCCCCCWCTCATATGGGTTCTTTATCCATCCCCACTCACARTAAAGCCTAGGATTATATTCCCTTTATATCTTTGTTGATATACACTTTTTTTCTGTAGGACAAAAGCTTTTCTGGAGCACAACTCTGACAATTAGTGGCCTCATCTGGATCCTGGCCATCTTCTGGTCCGCCCTGCCACTCATGGGATGGGGCGTCTATGACTTTGAGCCGATGAGGACGTGCTGCACGCTGGACTACACCAGAGGAGACAGGTACAAGTTACACATAAACAGGGATCACAGTGAATCGGTGCTCTGATGAACAGCAGCTTTAAGCTGTGTTTTTAYAACTCTTTATTCACGTCACTTTTCTTTCCGACAGGGATTATATCACCTACGTGCTAAGCCTGGTGTTTCTTTACCTGATGTTCCCATCTATCACCCTGATTTCGTGTTATAACTCCATCTACAAGCAATTTAAGAAGGTCCATCATCACAGGGTAAATATGCAGCTTTTAAATTCACAGTATTGTAATGAGACTTGAATCACTGAACACATTTAAGGCTTTTTAACAAGTTCAAAACAGTACTTTTGTATACTAAAGGTCTAAAGTGCTGTTTTATAAGTATTTTGGTCATCCCAACCAGGTAACTTTCTGTTTTAGCTTTTATATTAAAAATTCACATTGTACCATGTAACACAATGACATTTATTTTCTAGTTCAACACCAGTTTGCCCATGAAGGTAATGCTGATGTGCTGGGGCCCCTACATCCTCATGTGCATCTATGCCTGCTTTGAAAATGTGAAAATCTTCTCCCCAAAACTGCGCATGGTGAGCCCTTATTTTATTCCATACTTTTTATTTCATATTTCATGACTTCGGCAGCRCGGTGGCTCAGTTGGTGGAGCTGTTGCCTCTCAGTGAAAARGTTGCCRGATCAAATCCCAGAYRGGACCTTTCTGGGCGGAGTTTGCATGTTYTTYCCATGCATGTRTGGGTTTTCTCCAAGTRCTTTGGCTTCCTCCCACAGACCAAAAACATTAATGTTTGGCTAGTTTGTAACTCTAAATTGACACTAGGTGTGAGTGTGAGTGAATGGTGGTTTGATGGACTTGTGACCCATCCAGGGTGTTCCCCCACCCTAAAGGAAGGATGGATAGTTGGATGGATTTCATCACTTTCCTTTGCAAGAAAAAACAAAAAACAGGAGTTGTAAAATAAAAATAAATATTTTGAAGTGCCTCCAGAATTATAAAACTGATTTTTTTTCTCTTGTAGTTACTTCCAGTTATTGCAAAGACAAATCCCTTCTTCAATGCTCTCTTCTACGCATTTGGAAATGAGTTCTACCGAGGCGGCATTTGGCATTTCCTCACAGGACAGAAGATTGTCGAGCCAGACATCAAGAAGTCAAAATAAAAGAAGAACCTMAGTGTTCTAACATTTAAGATTTTCCTTTGCCTTTACTATAGGTTCTTAATGCATATTTACTACTAATGTTGTAAACTGAACAATGATAAACCATTTCTGATGATTGTACGGTTAGTTTCTCCCACATTAGGACAGTAGACGAAGCTCAGGATTGTGTTTTTGTCTGCAGCTTTWACACCTCGTGCTGGATTGGTGCAATTTAAACTTCTTTTTCCAGCAGCTTGTCTTTGTGCTTCGCCTCCGTCCAAGTTTAGCTCTGTTAAAAACAAACAGCGCTGCTTGTCTGCGTTGTTTCATGATGCACTTGGTGACGCCATTCCTATTTAAGAGGAGGAAGCTTTAACTGTGTTAAGACTATAATACGCAATTACACTACACTTTCACCTGGGGCAAAGTGAGTCTAACCACTTCCTCATAGAGTGGCTGATTACTGATGGGCCTTCCCCTGGAATTAATCACTAATAATGTTTTACTTTTTGTAATATCTCGTACTTTACCTACATATAAATTTGTATTTAGCTTCTTTTTAATGTCAGTTTTTACACATTACACAAGCAGAGGCCTTTCTAATAAAGAGAATGGAATACTAGTTTATTCTTTTCACAGACACGAGTAAAGAAATGTGATTATATTTTAAGATTTGATGCAAAGTGAGACATCCAAAACCTTAAAATCAACAGTAGGAAACTGAAAAATACAACATAAGTGTGTGGGATTTAATCTCAGCTGACTCTCCGCTTAAATATTCTTTGTTTCTTTTTCTGCAGTCCTGGYGTTYTCTCTCTCCCTCTCTCTCTTTTTTAAAGTAGGGCACAGAAATGGGTTTTAAACTGCCAATTCCGCCCACTCCATAAATAGCCCACAGTGGGGCAGTCTTCCACACAAACTTCAGGAGGGCAGTCATCAGCAGGTTAAATCCACTCTGTGAAAATGTCGGYTCATCTCATCAGAACTATGATGTCCTGAGCAGCAGTCATGCAGTTTTAGTTCAATATTTAAACCAGGAATTAAACTGATGCAAGAAAATTGACCACATTTGTATAGGTTGGGTGATGTGATCTCACCTGTACTTATATGTTGCTACAAATAAAAAAAAGCAGTATTGTGTCCTCATTATGATTTTTGTTTTATTATCCTGCACAAAAATGCTGAAGTTGYAAAACAGTGACTTCCTTGTTGAGAGACTGAGTCAGCTATCCTTCCTGTTACAGAGTGCTGGGATTCCCTCCAGCACCTAAACAAGCTGCTCATTAGTGGACATTAAATGTTTGGTGCAAACACTTCCGTCCTCAGGCTTCTACTGACACACGCACACACACACACACACACACACACACACACACACATATATATATATATACACACACACTTATCTTCTGAACTCGAGAGACTGAAGAAGTCAATAGATACCTAATTCTTGGAAAGCGCCCTACATTTGGCTGACGGCTGATTAGCGGCTGTGTGGATCAGAGATCCAATTTAGTACACTCACAGGAAAAAAAAAAGAAGTTGTCACAGACAGATTAAGGCTTAAGCTTTTAATAGACTGGTTCTGGTTCAAGTCATCCCAATGAAGTAAAGTTTTTAACTTGTTTTATTTTTATCCTTTTTTCTTTGATTTTTGTTGCTTTTTTTCTTTGCTTAATCATTACATTAGGCAGCAAAGCTATATAAAGAAAAATGCTGAATTATCTGTGTCCTATTGTGACATAAGCATCCAGAAGAATATTAACGTTTAAGCAAACACAGCCAATTTTTATCTTTTTTCTTATGTCATATTGAAAAACTAAAGTAAGCTGCTCAAATACCAAAGCCTTTCTGGCGCTGACATTAGCTAAAATCATTTGTAAGTAAATAAAAATATTATTGAATCTTTTCTTTTTTTCAGAGACTCAAATTCAGAAATATTAATTCCTTTATATATTTCAATTAAATTAATATTTGCAATTTAAATTTGACTGCAAAATGACAAAGAAGGGGGAGGGCAGCACTCCCCCTGGCCCAGAGTGAATCTGGACCCTGTCCGGCCCAGTGGGAGATAGAACTTAATCCTCAATTTACACTATGCTGTTTTAACCTCTGCAGTAAATAACCAACCATTTTATTCAATAAGAGCATTTACACTGGCTCATCATGATGGTGCAGAGCAGCAAACAGATGGTGATCCACCAAGATTAGATACATCTTTTGCCTGACGCCATAGCTGCTCCGGAGTCAATCTACAAAAATCACACCGCACCAACAGGAAGAAGAACAAACACAACGTCTGTATTTACAAAATAAATCCCCAAAGAAAGAGCAATTTTGTCTAAATGTTTGCTATATTAATAATTATATGGGTATATTTATACATAAATGCTATCAAAATGTATCATTATGATTAGGAAGCAAATGGAAATGCAGCTAGCAACTTATTCATACACATATGATGCACATGGATTTTATTCAGAAGTTTCAAAAAGTCAGCAGCGATGCAGTTTCAACTGTTAGTTCGTCTTGCACAAAAAAAATTATTTTGCTCATACTTGTACATTTATCACTGGGTTTATTGTGCGATCTCACATTTCCTGCACATTCCTCTCCGAGCTCCTCACACTGGACCAGATGAGACCGAACTGGTTCRGAGGCAGTAGGGAGCCGACCTTCTACCGCACCTGAGGCGAGATGCAGAACGCGGGCCCTCCCCTGAAGGCATCCAGAAGAGCCCATTCTGCTTTGATTTAGAGCCTCTTCCAGATAACCAACAAAAAAAATTACAGATCTGATAAAAATGCTTCCATCCATCAGCAACTAGTTCAGTGAGGTTTGCACTGCCCTCCTTTTATTTTTAACTCTTCCAGTCACTGTTGCAGCCCCTGAGTGCTCATTCTCCAAGTTAAAACTCACCACTTGTCTTGCATACATGTCAACCCCTTCGGTCGTTTATAATGGGCCTCAAAAATCCATAATTTTAGCAAAAAAAAAAGACAAAATTAAAAAATTCTGGAGGATTGGTCTATTAACATCAGTATAACTGCACAATAAGGAAAAAATTACAGACAGTCCATAAAACTTGACATGCTACACTTGAGTAACACAGTGGGACAAGAGACAGGACTTGCCTTGTCCATAGAGAATAAGAGATAAAAGAAAATACAGAGCATCACGGACGAGTTTGCAGAGTGTGAGGCTCGTCGTATGCTCTTCAATAGTGGTGAGTGGGCCTAAAGTACTTCATTTTGAAATTGTGTTTGTGAACATGTGGGCCACTGTGCCAGTTTTACTGAACTTTAGCTACTGATGGGGTACAGACTCTGAGTTGAGATAAAGCTGGTGTCAAAATGACCGAACCACTATCCGTGGTGCTGAACTGTTTTGAATTTGTGTTGTTTTATAGCTGAGTGTTTTATTCGTTTTCTTGGTTTGTTATAACTTCMTGTCCGTTTGATGGACTTCAAAATAACATAGTCGCTCTGTGGTGCTGAAGCTTGTAAGCCCTGCTGTTACAGGCAGGTGTACAGGTGCTGGTCATAAAATTAGAATATCATGAAAAAGTAGATTTATTTCAGTAATTCCATTTAAAAAGTGAAACTTGTATATTATATTCATACATTACATACAAACTCATATATTTAAAATGTTTA